GCCCCCTGCCGCCAGCTGGACCTGTGGTCGTCAGTGCACGGTGGGCAAGACACCGACTCATCAGCTTTCCAGCCCAAAGCCTGGAAACGGTTGAGCCCCACCAGCACGGCAGGGTTTCTCGGAGCTGGCTGTGTGTTCCGGCCAGCTCTCTGGCTCATCGTGGCCGGCCCTTCAGAGTCGTAGCAGACTGGATGCCCCGAGGTCCTCTGGTCCTGCTGAGTCCTAGGTGCAGCGGGACTGACCTGAGCCATGAGGTGTGGGTGGAGTGCCGGGAGGCCGGGGCGGGTGGCAGGTAGGACGGCCAGCGCATCCTTTACCCGGGCCTTTGACTAGAAAGCTGAGGAGTCACCAGGCCAGGGAAAGGGTGGCCTCTGCGAGGAGAGCCAGGGCGACATCAGCTCCTTGCTGCACTACCTCTGTCCCCCTCTGGCTCTCTGACCACCTGCCTCCTCCATCCCGAAGTGTCACAGAAGCGTGTGCCACCTGGGCCACTGCAGCCTGGGACTGGTCACTCAGCATGCCCACCAGAGGCTAGTTTCTGTTAGGCTAGCCTGGCACTGGTTACCAGAGCAACGGGGGGCTGGATTATGAGCTGCCATGCTCCATCCACACTGCTGAGCCCCTGGGGGCGCAGGGCACCTGGCTGCCAAGGAGCAGGGCATCCTCCCTCCTCACCTGCGCCCTGCAGAGATGACCCCTGAAGGAGTGTGAGTCACCCCTCCCTGGCCTCTTCTGCCCAAAGCAGACCTTCTGCCCTTTTCAGGCAAGATGCCCTTTGCAGACTCATCCCCCGAGGCCTGTGTGCTGTGCTTCCCTGTCAGGGTCAGGACTGAGCCACCTGCGCCCTTTAAGGCGAAGCGAGGGAGCACTCCCGAGAGCGAGGTGTCGGCCGCAGGGCTCGCGGTCACAGGAAGTGTGTGGTCGCGGCTTCCCGTCCCCGCCCTCACCACCCTCCCCTTTTGCTTTTCAGAAGTTGCTCTGGGCTTCTTGCCACGCCAGCGACACGCCTATGATAAATTTCGACTTTCATCAGTTTGCCAAAGGCGGGAAGCTCGGGAAATTGGAGAACCTGCTGAGGCCCCAGCTAAAGCTGCACTGGGACGACTTTGACGTGTTCACGAGGGGGGAGAGTGTGAGTCCACGGTGAGTGTCGCCTGAGCGCTCGTCTGCCCGGGCCCTGCTAGGACCTGCATCCTGCGGCCAGGTCCTCAGCTCAGCAACGCCTGGGATGGTAGCTCCCAGCCTCCTCCCCTCCCTTCTGTGGTCACAGATTTGCGGTGGAGTTTCCGAACAGATGGTCAAGCGAAGATTTCTGGAGAAAGAAATGGACCCGTAAAGGGGACAGCATTGGGACAGAGGGCTCAGGGCCAGTAGGTGGTGAGGAGGTTGAAGCTGGATCCTGCAGGGCCAGCAGTCCCAGACCTGGCAGCTCGAAAAACACACCAGCCATGTGTGCGTGCATGCCCAGAACCCTGAGGGGAGACCGAAGGAGAGGGGATTGCAGCTTGGCCATCCGCCTTCCCTAGGGATGATGTCCTACTTTCTCTTTCTCTCTCTCTCTGGAGAGCGCATGTGCCCTGGAGCAAAAAAAGAAAGACCTTAGGTGACCGTGTAACCTACCCTCGGCCGACACACGGTCAGTCCTCATCATCTGTAGATTTCATTTATCTTGGGGAATTTTCCTACTGGTCACACTCACCCCAGAGTCAGTACCCAGGCCCCACGTGGCCGCTCGCAGATGCACACAGAGCAGGGAGTGCTGTCACCGCCGTGCCTGTGCCCGCTGAGCTCCAAGGAGCCGTGCTCTGCCCTCGGCTTCCAGCTCTTGCGCTGTCAAGTGTCCTGTCTGTGATTTCTTCAGTGCCACCTTTGTCACACGCTTGTGCTTTTTGTGGGTGACGTCCCTGCCTACCCGGGCCCCCACGCCAAGGGCTGACGTGCTTCCTGCATCCCCAAGCACAGGAAGGTGGTCACATGCCCAACAGAAAAGCCCGTTAGAGGGGCTGCCTGGTGTGGGTTCAGAGCTGCAGGCCGTGGGTTCACTGCTGGTAACGCAGAGGTCTTTTACGTGCATGTATGTTCAGTCCAGTATTTTTATTTTTTAAAATGTTTAGAATGACTTTCTTTAACTTATTCATTAATGTTATTATTTTTAAAAATTTGACCAGAGAGAAAGAAAGGGAACAGAGCAGGGAGTGCTGTCACCGCCGTGCCTGTGCCCGCTGAGCTCCAAGGAGCCGTGCTCTGCCCTCGGCTTCCAGCTCTTGCGCTGTCAAGTGTCCTGTCTGTGATTTCTTCAGTGCCACCTTTGTCACACGCTTGTGCTTTTTGTGGGTGACGTCCCTGCCTACCCGGGCCCCCACGCCAAGGGCTGACGTGCTTCCTGCATCCCCAAGCACAGGAAGGTGGTCACATGCCCAACAGAAAAGCCCGTTAGAGGGGCTGCCTGGTGTGGGTTCAGAGCTGCAGGCCGTGGGTTCACTGCTGGTAACGCAGAGGTCTTTTACGTGCATGTATGTTCAGTCCAGTATTTTTATTTTTTAAAATGTTTAGAATGACTTTCTTTAACTTATTCATTAATGTTATTATTTTTAAAAATTTGACCAGAGAGAAAGAAAGGGAAAGTGAGAAAGCAGGCCACCAGGTCCAGGCCCCGAACCATAGTCGGCCATGTGGGCATCGAGCGCCATAACCAACATGCCACCTGCCAGCCCCAATCCGGTGTTTTCAGAGACACACATAAACAAGGTTGCGGTTGGTCAGCTGATGGAAGCGTGGTGACAGGGACCTTCCCCTGCCTCTCCCGGGAGGCGCACTTCTGCGTGGCCAGCTCAGTGTTCACACAGCGCCAGGCTCCTGCTGCGCGTCACAAGAACGCCCTGCTGTGTGGACAGCGAGCTGCGTCCGGGCTTGCCTGCCCTATTTACAGCAGTGCTGGGGTCCATCAGGCATGCGCCGGGGCCGGGCGGGTCCTCTCTTGGAATGTGTGTCCCTGGGAGCGGCCTGTCAGACGCAGGCCACTGTGTCGCGGCCGTTGCTCCGCAAACACAGCTCACGACCGTCTCTCCTTCCTCCTTTCGTCCTCAGCTGGCAGAAAGGCACTTTGCGGATGAACTGTCTCGACTGCCTGGCCCGAACCAACACCGTGCAGCGCTTCATCGCGCTTGAGGTCCGTCCCTGTGGCGCCCGGGCCATCCATGTCATGTTGCACCTTCGTCCACCGTGTCACAGGCAGTCTTTCACACACTGGGGTGCACCCCAGACCTGCGGCCCAGAGGCCCCAGCAGTTGTGTGTGACGCTTGCCGTGAACATGTTAGAAAGGCAGCGTGAGGGCCTGAGCCGAGGGTCTCTGCCTACGCGACCTCGGCTGCCTGGTCGATCCCTTGCCTTGTGGTGGGGAGGAGGGAGGCCGGGTCGGGGCCACCTGCGGTCCCTCACACCTGCAGTCCAGCCCTCCGGCCATGGTGCTGAGGGGCCAGGTGTGAGGGGGCCAGAGGAAGAGCTGGTGGAAGACAGAACGAAGTTGGGGTGTCATGGTGAGACCCGCTTCCCTGCTGCACGCTCCCCTCGTGCTCGGTACACGGAGCGCTCGGCACAGAGCGATCCGAGCTTGCTAGGCTGGTGCCAGTGACGTGTCCCGGGCAGTGTGGGGCCTCGTGGGAGATGGCATGATCGCCTGTCCCTTCTTCTCCCCAGGTCCTTCAGCTGCAGCTCGAGAGCCTGGGGCTCAATTCCAAACCCATCGTCGACCGCTTCGTGGAGGCCTTCAAAGCCATGTGGTCCCTGAACGGACACAGTCTGAGCAAAGTCTTCACGGGCAGCCGGGCCCTGGAAGGGAAGGCCAAGGTAGGAGCAGCCCGGGGGCAGGGTGGCGGCCCAGGGGTCCCCATCACAGCCTGAAGTCTGGGCTCCCGGCAGGTGGGGAAGCTGAAGGACGGAGCCCGCTCGGTGTCCCGCACCATCCAGTCCAACTTCTTCGATGGAGTGAAGCAGGAGGCCATCAGACTGCTGCTGGTTGGGGACGTCTATGATGAGGAATCCACAGACAAGGGGAGGATGCTCCTGGACAACACAGCCCTTCTGGGTGAGGGGCCCCTGCGCTGCCTGCCCGGGTGTCCCTGCCCTGCCACGTGAGCACGCGGCGAGGCTGCGGGGCCACCAGCCCCTCCTGCCCACCCCTGTGGACCCTGGCATGCAGTGGCAGTGCTCCTGGCGTCTGCGCTCTGGCCTCTGGCCTGTGGCCACAGGGTCTGACCCTGGCCCGAGCAGGCCGCGGCTGTCACTGTGCTGCCCAGGACCTGTGCTCTCTGGCCTGGTGTGGGAGCTCGCTGTCCTGCTAGGCCTGGACATGCTAAGGTGGGGGAGGGCCCCGAGGGCTCGGCGAGAGTGCTGCACTGTTCTGGTGTGTCTGAGTCTGCAAGTGTCGGCTAACCCCAGAAACTCCCTCCGCCGATGGGGTGCTCAGCCCCTGGCAGGTACCGTTTAGCCTGGGAGCTTCCTGCAAGCTGGCCTCCTGTCTCTGCTTGACCCTGAGAACTCTGTAGGAACAGAGGAGGGGGAGGATGCTCCTGGGACGAGGCCACTCTCAGTCTCAAGTCTCTGTGGCAAGTCTATCGTGACGCTGTCATAGCCAGAGGCTGCTTTGGGAGATTCTCAACGGCTTCTTGTTCTCCGGAGCCTGTGAGCTCTGTGGACCTGCTGGAAAAGAGGGGTAACCTGCACTCTTCCTTCGGAGAGTGGTGGTGACCCGGCATCACCGCGGTGTTCTGTGGTGCTGGACCCCCGAGAGGTCCCGGGTGTGTCTCGAGGCCTCCCGTGCATGCTGGGCGCATTACCCATGAGCCAGGCCAGCCGAGGCCGGAGTGGGTCGGGGTGTCAGGACTCTGTTAGGGTGCCTGTCTCTCTCTCTCTCATGGAAGCAATAAGCGAACTTTAAAAAAAACATGTTTAAGTTTTGCTTTAGTAATTTTTGGTGTTTTGAAAGATAAACTAGCTCGTGTAGAATGTTCCCTGCCCTTTCGTTCCCATTTTGCCATGGAGGAACCCCCTGCTGGCCTCTAGTGACCAGGGCACCTTTCATTCCTG